TTAATTTGTATATCTGATCATTAATTGTATCACGAATACGTTTGATACAATTGATTTGTATCAATAAATATAACTATATTTTATGAATATAATTGTATCAAAGACTACTAATATTCAATTTATTGATGCAAATCAATTGTATTAACAAATATAATTTTTTCGATGATATAATTGTATCATTGTTATAATTGGTAACTAATTGTATTTTATTCATCTACTGTCTTGTGTATTTTATTCACTAATTGTAATCATTCGTATTTATACCATTCACTATTACCATTTGTACTTATATTATAGGAGAGAGATGAAGAGCAAGAGAGCGTGGGAGCAAATTGAGGATAGAGGTGAGCGACAGATTGCGGAAAAAGATGAAAGAGGCGAGAGTGAGAGTGTAGAAAGATTAGAGATGAAGTTTCCATAAAATTCTAATTATAACTATGAATCATATTTTTTTATAAAAAAATTAAATTTATGTATAGTAAATACACATCACATGTAAGGACAGGCGAGCCGGGATGAACCAATCTCAGAATGATTCTGGCCTTGATTATCTAGGATCTACACTTATAGAGGGATGGGTGGAATAGAACCTGTCGAGATATGGGATGGGATGGCTTGATTTTTGGCCTGATTCATTTTGGTACTGCTTTTTTAATCAAATATGGTCAATTTGAGAGTTTGTCATATTCTTAAAAAATACAAAAAATTTAGATATTTATTACAATTCAAGACTATTTTTAAAAATGATACTGTGCGTAAAATCACAAATGGCCTCAAGTTAACCACATGACGTAGCATGATAGTAAGATCGCATACATAACTAAAATAATCATGAAAAGCGGAATACATTCTCTGACATAGCATAAAGAGAGAAATCCGAATACAACGATGCATCAACGAGAATGTCAATATTTTAAATAGCCTCTCATATAAGTGAGTCGATAAGACAAATTTCTAGCTGACCCAAACAATTTGAAATCAAAAGTAGAGTCTGAAATGAACATAAGAAATCACAAGTGACATATCCCCAAACCATGAGAGCAATCACTTAAGTTGGGTAATGTTGATAGGATGATGTACTAACCACGATTGGAAGGATATGCATCAGAATCAATATTATGAAACAATGTAGGCAGAAAAGTAACGGCCAGTATTCGAAATGTACTGAATATGGAGAAATGCGTAAACACGCATGACATAATTAATAACATGATAAATCTGTCAAAAATGATGATCAAGTAAACATAGCATGTAAACTGATCATTTGGTTTCGAAAATATAGTACAAGGTCATGCAATATTCTAAAGTCGTAACAAATGTAGGAGATCTCATTAAATGACATAAACCATGTGAGCTACAATATGGAGTTTAGTGTTCTGCTCCCGTACCGAAAAGAGAGTGTCTTACTTGCCAAAGTAAGGAACATGAGATTAAGCTAAGGTGGGTCAATTAGCTAATGTTTGTAAAAGACTAAGAGTCTGTTTGGATTGACTTTAAAGTAGGGTAAACCCACTTTTGAGTCATTTCTAGCTTTTAGAAGTGTTTGACAAGGTTAAATATAAGTTTAAATGATTATTTTTTTTTAAAAAAAAAAAGTTAAAATCAAAAGTAGATCTCCCCCTACTTTTTATTTTTTTAAGTTGTAAGTCATTTAAGTTTGACTTTTTATTTTTGACTTAAAAGCTATTTTTAAAAGTCAATCCAAACAAACTCTAAGTCCTACGGCGGCACGTAGTTCTTGGGTTTAGGGATTACTACTAAAGGTCAACGGACGCTAATAATAATAAATAACCATCCCAAAAGTCCACCACTACAAAAGACCTCTAATTGCCAACAAAATTTTACTAACAACTTAAGTTGGTTAGTATTCAACTAAACTATCAACATATTTCTAACGGAATAATATTTTAAAACTTAATAACGAAATTCTAACAGATTGCCAACATATATCTTACTAACTAATTATTTTAGTTGGTAAATACGGCGGAAAAAAATGACGCCAAATTTAGCAACCTTCTATCAATGGATTACCAACAGAAATATTACTAACACACACCTTTTGTTGGTAATATTACCAACAAAGTATATATTGGTTGGTAAATATGACAAAAAATTGTTTATATAATTTATTAATATATTACCAATGACTTACTAACTAAACATTTACCAACGACAAAATTGTGTTGCAAAATTTACCAAACAAATATAAATATGTTGGTAAATTAATAACGAAATGTAATTTGTTGGTAAACTTGCCAAAAGTTAAACTAAATATGCTCTGATGAAAATTATTTCAGTTCGATTAGTTTCGAAATGTCATTTTTATAGCTAATAAGATGGTTGTTTCACGTTTTGAGACTTCCATTTTTCAGTTTGTGTTGTTAGGCGTTTTAACTTTTGGCCAAAATTTATACTTGGTCAATATTTTCTGTAAACGTGCTCAAATTAAATTTTTTTGATATAATGATATGTGTCATATTGAGATTAATTTAACTTGTTACATAGGTTTTGCATTGTTTCATTAAAATATGATTTATAAAATTGATTATATTTTTGGATTTATATTCATGTTCTTAGATTTTTAAATTCAATAAATTAATAAATATTTAAACTGGTGAACAATTATTCAGTTAATAATTTTTTAAATATATTGTCAATCAATTACTAACATTGAACTTGAATGATATATTATCAAGGGATGATGCTGAAGTACCCCCTCAACCTATGCCCGAAATCTCAGAAACACACTTATACTATACTAAGGTCCTATTACCCCCTGAACCTATTTTACTAATAACTTTTTACCCCTTTTTGACCTACGTGGCACTATCTTGTGGGCCCAACGATGGTTGACTTTTTTTTTCTCAAACTAGTGCCACGTAGGCTAAAAAGGGGTAGAAAATTATTTATAAAATAAGTTCAGGGGGGGTGATAGGACCTTAGTATAGTATAAGTGTGTCTCTGGGATTTCGGGCATAGGTTGAGGGGGTACTTGTGTATTTTCCCTATTATCAATAAACTAACAATCAATTAGTAAATTTATTAGAAAGATAAATAATCATACTAAAGTATTTTAAATTTATTACAAACAAGAGTTGTGGTGTATTAGTAAGTACTCTTGCACATTTAACCAAGAGGTCTTAGGTTTGATTTCCGTCGGGTACATAATCATTGTTAGGGTCTTAGGGAGTGCTTCACCACCCAATGTGGGACTTTCCGGTGTGAATTCAAATTTAGCCGGGTTCCAATGTGGGTACCGAACACCGGATGGAAAACCAAAAATAAAAATAAAAAAGTATTTAAAATTTATTGACAAATTACCAACAAAAACTTTTGTTACTAAAATTACCAACCAATTACAATGTTGAATTGAAAAATGAACAAAAAAATTCACCAACTCTTTTTCAATTCGTTAGTAAAGGTATTAACGATATACTAAGCAAAAATTAGTTGGAAAATTTATCAATGAAAATTTCAAGGCCATACTTCAAAATTTTGTAGCAACATATTTAGGGGTTTACCAACTAATTTTTGGTTGGTAAATTACCAACAAATTAAAATCAGTTGGTAATATTTACCGACAAACTTTTTAGCAACTCATTAATATAAGTTGACATTTGATTGATAATTTAATTTGTTAACCGATTTAATTAATTTACCAACAAATTTTTTATTGATAATTGAGATTCCTTTTGTAATGCACTAGGTACTGAGTATACCCAATAGAGACGTGCATAATTGGAGAAATAGTAAGAAAAAATGTTGTGGCCCCTAAAATTGAGGCCCTAAGGCATTGGCCTAAAAAAATATAGGCAAGAGCAGACTCTAGAAATTATTTAAATCATGATAAGCATTCATAATTCATAAAAATATGAGTTCATAATGCATGTGAAAATAACATAATTGTGATCAAGAAAATACTTGCATAGCATGGATTTATAAAAAAATATCATTGAAGACGTTGAATTAAGATCAATTATGTATAATAAGATCAATCATGAAAAATAACTAAATTTTTAATGAGAACCTATAAGAAATCAAGAAACTCTAAAATTGGAGAAGAATCATAAGAAAGAATCATAAGAAACTGAGATTAGTTTGGAACTTAATGGGTGAAGGATTCGTTGATGAAGTTTCCACGTATCTTTATTGAAACCCAAGAAGACTCGAAGTTTTGAAATTGTTATTCTTGCCTTATAGAGAAGCTTGATGGAGAAGAATTTGATTTTAAGGGAATGAGAGTAAATGAGATGGCTAAGGATCTTAGGAATTAACTATAGTCTCCAAATAAGCCCAAATGACATAGTATAAAAATTAATACAATTTTTTTAGTTCTAACGTTTAACGTCATTAGCTTGATTTAGTATCTCTCAGCTTGATCATTTTATCAAAGTCATAAATGACCGTTTATCTTGATTTTTCACCCTTTTTAGTGTGTGCTCAATTTCAATTGCTCCATATGGAATAACATCAGTAACATTTGTATGGGTATGTCCATCTGAATTTTAATTTTCTTCAATATAGCTAGAGTCTATGATAGCAAATAGGGGTGTACATGATCAGGTTGGTTCAGATTTTTTAAATATTAAATCAAATTATTTGTATGAAATTTAAATTTATAGATCAAACCAATCTAATAAAATTTGGATTTTTTCGGGTTTCAGTTAAACAAATACATTGATGTACATTGAAAGTATATTGAAGCATATAGTATATTATGGTGAGGATTACATACTAGATTATAGCTAGGAAGAATTAGTTACAAGTTAGTTACAAAGTTAGTTACAAAGTTGTTAGTTAGTAAGTTGTATATAAGTGATGTATTGTGTGACATTGAAGATCAATGAAGTAATTTTCTCCCTTCCAATAATCTTGCATTCTCTCTGCGTGTTCTTGAGCTCCAACAGAGCTTTGATTATGGATTCTTGTTAGAATCTGTAATCTCTACATGGTATCAGAGCCACTGATTCTGTAAACGAGTAGCTAAAGTTATTAATTCGATGGTTTCTACTGGAGATTCAGCAGGGGAAATCACAGGAACATCAATGGCATCCACGACCATTGATCATCTTCATCCTTTGTACTTGCATCCATCTGGTGCACCTGGCTCACTCAACATTGGAATAATGCTTACAGGAACAGATAACTACACTTTGTGGAGCAAAGCAATGCAGTTGGCTTTGCTTAGGAAGAACAAAGTAGGATTCATTGATGGAATAGTGAAACGAGATCAGTTTTCAGGGAGTTTAGCTCAACTGTGGGATCGATGTAATGCCATTATTGTTTCATGGATTTTGTGCAATGTGAGTAAAGATCAACACAGTGGTGTTCTTTTCTGTTCAGATACACATTTGATTTGGGGAGATCTAAAAGAAAGATTCAACAAGATCAACAGTTCTCGTGTGTTTCAGCTACATAAGGAGATCTTTACACTTTTTCAAGGTGTGTCTTCTATCTCAGTATGCTACTGACTCAAAGATCTTTGGGATGAATATGATAGCATCATGCCACCACCAGCTTGTAATTGTCCTAAGTCTAAAGAGTTTTTTGAGCATCTTCAATATCAGAGAATGTTGCAATTTCTTATGGGACTTAATGATGGCTATGCTCAGGCTCGTAGTCAAATTATGTTGATGCATCAACTTCCTAGCATTAATCAGGTTTATGCCATGATAAGTCAAGATGAAAGTTAGAAACTAACAACAAATTTAAGTAGGTCAATGCCAGAAAGTTTAAATCCTACAGCAATGTATACATCGAGATCTAATTCTAGGAATAAGAAGCCATACAATCCTAATGCCTTCTGTGATTATTGTCACATGAAGGGGCATATGAGAAGTGATTGTAACAAACTATTGAAGTGTGATCATTGTCACAAAACTGGCCATGTAAAGCTGGATTGTTTAAAACTTATTGGATATCCTTCAGAGTTCAAAGGAAAGAGGGACACAGTTGTTGCAGGGAACTCAATCTATGAGGAATCATCCATCCATCATCATGCTCCACAACCTACTCAAAAGGAGTCTCATCCAGCTGCAGAATCTGGGATGATGCCAATGCCAATGTTTACACCACAGCAACATCAGAAACTCATTCAAATGTTGAATCAAACAACTGTTGGTGATACACATTGTGTTGCTAATATGGCAGGTAACTCTTACTTATCTAAGGATGGTTCATTACAGTGGGTAGTTGATACTGGTGCTACACATCATATGATAAATGATGCTAAGTATTTACATTGTGAAAGACTGATAGAAAATGCAGGTAGTGTTCAGTTACCTACAGTAGATTCTACAAAGGTTTCTCACATTGGAAATTGTCCTATAGGAAAAGGTGATATGCTTAGACAAGTGCTATGTATTCCAGATTTCAAGTTCAATTTTATGTCTGTTTCGAAAATGACTAAAGATTTGAATTGCTGTGTCACCTTCTTCCCTAATTACTGTGTTTTTCAGGATCTCTCATCTGGGAAGGTGAGGGTGACTGGTAAAGAAAGAGATGGTTTATACATGGTGGATACACAAGTAGAAGATATGCCTTAGAGATGTTTAACAGCAATACAAGATATTAAAGATAAAGCTACTGTTTGGCATCAAAGGCTATGTCATGTACCTATGAGTGTAATCAGGAAGATTCCCAGTTTAAATAAGTTTGGTAGTAAATTTACACTGCATGATTGTGAAGTTTGTCCACTTGCTAAACAAACTAGGCTGCCCTTTCCTAACAATACTAGTAGATCAACAAATATTTTCCAGCTGGTTCATTTGGATGTTTGGGGACCATATAGAGTTGAAACTTTTGATGGTATGAGATATTTTCTTACTATTGTTGATGACTATTCAAGATGGACATGGACTTTTCTAATGAGATTGAAATCAGATGTTGTTAGTTTGTTAAAGCATTTCTTTACAGAAGTTTAAACTCAGTTTGGTAAAAAGATTCAGAAGATAAGAACAGATAATGGTTCTGAGTTTTTTAATTCTAATTGCAATGAACTTCTTAAGTCACATGGTGTTATCCATGAAAGCTCTTGTCCATATACACCTCAACAGAATGGTGTAGTGGAAAGAAAACATAGACATATTCTAGAGACAGCAAGAGCTATAAGTTTCAGGCTGGTTTTCCAAATAGATTTTGGGGTTTATGTGTTCAAGCTATAGTGTATGTGATCAACAGAGTGCCTTCTACTAATTTGAGTGGTGTATCATCTTTTGAGAAACTGTACAACAATCTTCCTTCAATTGATCATTTAAGAGTGATAGGCTGCTTGTGTTTTGCTACTAATCTTACTAAGCAAGACAAATTTAGTCCTAGGGCCATAAAGTCTGTCTTAGTGGGGTATGAGACTGCACAAAAGGTCTACAAATTGTACAATTTGGAGGGTAAAACATTCTTTGTTAATAGAGATGTAGTCTTTGTTGAGTCTGTGTTTCCCTTCAAAGACAATACTACATCATCAGCTGATCCTGTTTCCAATACAGACTTGTTCAATTATGATGAAATGATCACTATAATACCACAACCCACTATATCTCATTCTAGTTCAGATAGTGTTGCTCAACAAGTGTCACTCCATCAGGATGTTCCTACAATAAGAAAGTCTGCTAGGAGTGTTAAACCTCCAATCTGGCATACGGATTACATTACTACAAGTGGGACTAACAAATGTTTGTATTCAATAACTTCAGTACTAGATTATTCTGGATTGTCCAACAAGTATCAAAGTTTCATTTCAAAATTCTCAGTTGAAAATGAGCCAGCTACTTATGAAGAAGCTATACAAGATGTTAGATGGGTGGATGCAATGCAAAGTGAAATAAAAGCTCTAGAAGATAATCAGACTTGGGAATTAGTAGACTTGCCAAAGAACAAGAAAGCCATTGGCTGTAGATGGGTTTACAAGGTGAAGTATAATTCAGATGGTGGTGTAGAAAGATTCAAGGCACGATTGGTGGCCAAAGGTTATAATCAAAAGGAAGGTTTTGATTACCAAGAGACATTCTCACCAGTGGTTAAAATGGACACTGTAAGGTCTGTTATTTCAATTGCAGCTGCTAATCATTGGCACATTCATCAAATGGATGTTTACAATGCCTTTCTACAAGGAGATCTCTATGAAGAGGTATACATGACATTGCCTCAAGGTTTTAGTAGAAGGCAGAACAACAGCAATGGAAACAATCAAGTGTGTAAATTGCTAAAATTCCTCTATGGCCTGAAACAAGCATCAAGGCAGTGGAACATCAATCTTACACATACCTTGATTGAATCTGGATTTCATCAAAGCACAAGAGTTTATTCTTTGTTTACAAAGAGAAAACAAGACAAGATAATGATAGTTCTTATATATGTGGATGATATGTTATTAACAGGAAATGATCCAGTGATGATTCAACAAACTAAGGAGAGGTTACAACAAGCTTTCAAGATCAAGGATTTGGGAGAACTAAGATACTTTCTTGGGCTCGAATTTGCTAGAAGTGATGCTGGAATTCTAATACATCAAAGGAAGTATGCTTTAGAACTCATATCAGACATGGGGTTGGCAGGTGCCAAACCAGTCTCAATTCCAATGGAATTGAATCAAAAACTTACTACAGCTGAATTTGATGCTAATATTTCATCTACATGTCCTGATGAAACATTAAAAGATCCTACAAGATATCAAAGGTTAATTGGGAGGTTGTTGTATCTCACAACTACTAGACCTGATATATCATTTGCTGTACAGTGCTTGAGTCAATTTATGCACTCTCCAAAGACTTCACATATGGAGGCTGCAATGAGACTAGTTGGATATGTGAAATCAGAACCAGGACTTGGTATTTTGATGGCATCAACAGGGGGAAATGATTTGCAGGTTTTCTGTGATGATGATTGGGGTGCATGAATTAATAGTAGAAGATCAATTACAAGATACTTGGTACAATATGGAGGTTCACCTATATCTTGGAAATATAAGAAACAAGTGACAGTGTCTAGAAGTTCAGCAGAGGCAGAATATAGAGCAATGGCATCTACAGTTGCTGAGATTGTTTGGATTGTTGGTTTATTTGATGAACTTGGAATCACGATTAATCTTCCTGTGCCATTGTACTCAGACAGTACTTCTGTGATTCAAATAGCAGCTAATCCAGTGTTCCATGAGAGAACACAACACATAGATATAGACTATCATTTCGTGAGGGAAAAGATACAAGAAGGATTGGTTAGTACAACACATTTAACATCATCATAACAGCCTGCAGACATATTCACTAAGGCACTTGGACGAGATTCTCATATACATCTTGTATCCAAGCTAGGAATGAAGAACATCTTCATAGTTCCTAGCTTGAGGGAGAGTGTAAAAGAGTTAAACAAATACATTGATGTACATTGAAAGTATATTGAAGCATATAGTATATTATGGTGAGGATTACATACTAGATTATAGCTAGGAAGAATTAGTTACAAGTTAGTTACAAAGTTAGTTACAAAGTTGTTAGTTAGTAAGTTGTATATAAGTGATGTATTGTGTGACATTGAAGATCAATGAAGTAATTTTCTCCCTTCCAATAATCTTGCATTCTCTCTGCGTGTTCTTGAGCTCCAACAGACCTTTGGTTATGGATTCTTGTTAGAATCTGTAATCTCTACAGTTTCCCTATCTCGGGTTGGTTCGGTTTTTTTAAATACCAAATTAAACAATTATTTCGAATTTTAAAATTTATAAATCAAACCAAATAATAAACCTCAAATTTTTTTAATAAAGTTTGCATACAAACATATAATTAACTATGCTTCAAATATTTATTTAGTCCAATCAAAATACAATTATCTAAGGTATTTCTTTAAAAAAAAACAGAAAATATGAGATAAGTATCACACAAAAATATTCGATTAAAATTGATAATGAAATCATCATATAAAATAAATATTGTAAAGTCATAATAAAAATGATCATAACTTAAAAGTACTGAATCATGCTAATATAAAATAAATATTGTAAAGTCATAATGAAAATGATCATAAATTAAAAGTACTAAATCATGCTAACATAAGTTTAGTAAGTATTAGTTACATTACTAAATATTTAAGAAAAATTAAAATTAGATTATGTATTTTAATTATCTAAACCAATGTAAAATTAAAGAACAAATATTCAATATTATTGTTATTCTTAGTGTTGAATCAATTTTTTTTTCATTAGTATTAATTTGATTTTGATTTAAGTTTTATTATAATTATCAATATCTATGAACTATAATCTTTATTGGATCATTCCAAATTCTAAGTTTTAAACTTGAAATGATATATTAAAAGATAAAACTATGAAATAGTATAAGAAATATTTTAAAATTATATGAAAGTAAATATTTTTATGTATAGAATAAACGAAAAAGGGTCATATTTGTCTTTTTACTCTTAGAAAATGGTTATATTTGTCCTTTGTTATACTTTTTTGATACGTTTACCCTTGCCATCCAACTTAAGGTACACATTTACCCTTAAACTGTTAAATCTCATATCTTCACTTTTATCATCCTATATGACATTTATGTGGCGCCTACGTATATTTTTATATTCATTCTCTTAATTTTTATATATAATATTTAATTATTATATCTAACTCAATGTTACAACCAACCATTTAACCCATTAATCCTAACTCCTAATATTTATTTTACTGTCAGTTTCATACAGAAAA